CGAGGGAAGCGCTCCTGAGGAGATCGCCTCCTCCGGCGGGCCCCGGGAACGGGAACCTGCCCCCTCGGGGGGCTGCGAGGGTCCGTCTTATGGGAGGCTGCCCTCGAGGGTCTCCAGCCGCACGCCCTGCCCAGGTAAATGAGGCCCGGACCGCTGGTTTGGGTGAAGTTTGCTGCTTTATGCATCTGTTCCAAAGGATGAAACTACACAATGCTCATACAGTAAATGTAGCCGCAGAACTGGCCCGTTACAGAACTCGCTCCTGGATCCCATGAGGACAATGGGAGAGAGACACTGGCCAGGTACTCGCCTTCCTCTCCCGCTGTGTAACACGAATCACTTTCAAAAACCAACAGGCTTTTCACACATAAGACTGCTTGCTTGAGGACAACCCGGACTAAACTGAAACAAGCCCGATGGAGGAGTCTCCCACCTTTGATGCCAATTTAACTTAAATGCTTCCAGTCACTACCTTAAATTACACCACTCTGGTTTTTCCCTGTAGGCAAAGAAACACTTAATTATCTTACTGCATTTGTCTTCTTGTTCTTACCTACTAAAGAAGCAGTAACCAACCCAATTTCCAGAGATTACTAATCTACCACTCCCTTAAAGGCTGGCTCCAACAGCAACAACAGAAACTGTCAAAAATACTAACTGCAGCACTTTAAATTTCTGACACTGTCAAGTGAGGTCTCATTTTCAACAGAACAACACTGTTAACAGGGTTCTGTAAGTCCTGAGGAGTAAACATATTTCAATTTAAACCTGAGACAGTAAGCCAGGTTAAATTCACTGGATGCAACTTTGTCCCACTGAAGTCAATGCTTGATTCCCACCTGGCAAGAAGCCACCTCTGCCCACCTAAGCTATACATCCTCTTAACTCTGCTATCTGGGAGACTAATTTTCCCCTACAAATACACTAAATATTAGACTTACTTCTCAAATGTATTTTCAAACCACTATGAATTAGATTTTCTTACCAACTAGACACCATTTTCAGGGGAATCCCACACTCAGAAGGAAAAGATACTTGTACATTTCAGTCGCCACACGGCAAACTGACCATACACTAACAGTCTGTCTCCCTCAGCCGCACAGATCACATTGTAGGAAAAGAGCTGTCACTGTGCTTCTAAAACCAGCTGTGCTATCAGCTCCTTGGCATCCTTCATGTTGGAGGATATTTCAGAGCCATCTTCTGCCACATGGGTACCAATCAAGAACATCTTCCTGTTGTCCCCGATATCAGACAGTGCCAGAGCATCGTGGATATCAGTGATGGAATATGCACCTTCAAGGTCCTGATACAAAAAAAAAAAAAAGAGAGATTGTTAGTTGCAAGAGGTAGCAGCACCATTCCTATGTTGCAGTTCGGTTTCTAGTCATTCCGGTGTTAATGACACCAGTGCAACATTACCCATACGAGCCAGACAAAAGTCTTGCTGCCCAAAGTGCCCAGAAAAGTGCTACAAGAACAGGGCAAACATGTTCTGCATGCCTTCTCAGCCACCACCATTTCTGACTGTGGGACCTAGAGTATCAGTAGTAGCACCTGTGTCTGATGAAGCCAAAGGGCTCAAGAGTAGCACAAACAACTACTAGTAACATGCCCAAGTTACTAAAAATTTAGGAGGCAACAATATAAAGTGAACCAAGCACAGCCCTCACAAAAGAAAATCTGGGCTTAAAACCCTTGGGCTGTTCTGCCATCTGACTGCACCACAGGCAAAATTCTGTTCCAGATACAGCATCAGTCATGAACACTTTCACAAAGATCTTGGGAGAAAGCACTGCCTTGTGAGAAAAGCTGATCTCTCATGCTTCAGCAGCAGCCTTAGGTGCAACCAACCTGACAATCCGAATGCCAGCAACAGTGCTTCACTTTTTGGCTGCTGCTAGGTAAAGTGGTACTTCTAGACAGACATTCAGAACAGAAACCGAACTCCAGGTCTGACTGTAGTCTCCCTTGCAGCTCTACAGCAGTTTCTACCACGATTTCCACCCACAGTTCTGACTGCACTGCCTCCAAGCACAGGACCTGCATTTTGCAGATACAAAACTCAACCTCAGACTATTTTCTTTTGTGGCCAACAGGTGTCCCAAGAAGACCCCCAGCTCCCAGCCATTAGGCCTCCTTTGAAAGGCTTTGTTGCTGTTTGCAGAGCTATTGCCAGCCCCATCTCAGCTAGCAGGGAACTCTTACCTGCTTGTTGGCCAGAACCACCACCGGCAGGGTGGAGTTGTGCTGGATCAGCTGATGAAGCAGCTGTTTTGCCACAGGCAGTCGGGCATGATCAGCCGAGTCCACGACATAGATTAGCAACAGCACTTTCGGCAAGTACATCTTCCAGTATGAACGCAGAGATTCACTGCCCCCGACTGGAACAGAAGATAGCAGCACAGGATTCACCAAGTAATCCGAGCGCACTGCTCCCAGAGCTGCAGACAGCAGGCTCTGGGCTGAAAACCCAAGGTGTCTGGGTTACCAAAAACTAAAAGTATTTGAACTACTGTATATGAGACTGGAAATAGCTTTATTTTCCCCAGTCAAGTCACATGCAGGCATATGTGTACACTCTGGGAACAACGAACCAAAATCATTTCAAGATTTATTGTGAGAGGATTCTGGGTTCAACTTCTTATGCTTGCTTTCTTGCCTTGCTGTTTCTTGCTCTCATGCAAGTAGGATGAGTAGGAAGAAGCCCATAAACACCATGAGACAACATCCCCACATAATCCACCTATACATGCCCATCTCATCTTCAGACAAAGCAGACCTACAATTTCCAAAGAAGAAATTTAGCTCTGAGTTTGGGAGAGCCCTCTTTGGGTTTGTATGACACTGCGGAGTAGTTCAAAACTCCTGCAGCTTTCGTACTGCTTAGGAGGTGAGAAAAATCAAGCCCCAGCAAACTCTTCAGGCAATCCTTGGGAGAAATCTTTGCACATTTCTACATGAGCTCTTCTCTGCTGGATACAGAAGAAAAAACTGTCCACCTCCAAAAGCAATTGCTTTTGCACATGCAGCAAGTTGCTCAAGATTGTTGTTCCCATCTGGGGACAAAAAGAGTTTGGTAGTTTGCTGAGATTAATAGGAGCAGGAAGAGCTAACAGTATATTAAGTATTTCAGATGTGTTTTCCACTCTCCAGGTCTTCTCCTAGGTACAATGCAGAACACTCCAAGAGTACTGAGGTGATCAAAAGGCCTGGGTGACTCTCCCAAAGGTAGTAAGTTTTCAGAGCAATACAACTGGGGTTCCCTATAATTTTCTCCTGCTTTACATGGGATATCTTTTCAAAACTGACTTGCTAGTCAGCTGTCATTTACTGCCCTTTTGCTGTTACTTTTACTGTGGCTTTGTTCTGTTTCAAAGCAATTTTACTTTCAGCTAAGCCAAAATGATCCAGTAGTTTCAAGAACACAGAAAGGGAAGCATCATTTCCTGCTAGAGCATGCCTGCCTTTTCTTCAAGAGCCCCAGCATATCTGCAGGCAGTATTGCAAGTCTGTTGCTGTGGAAAGCAGCCAAAAGGCTGTGACTGATGCATCACATGTGGGACAGATGCCTCTGATTCTGTACTGTGATGTTGTGGGGCTCACCACTGCTCCCTTTGTTAAGTGCATTCATGCACAGCATAATCCAGGGGTCAGCAACCTCACAGAGGACATTTTTTTCCCACCAAACAAGTAGGAACCCAGCAGAAGACAGAGGCAAGATACCAACCATTTTTCTGTATTATGGTACAAATCAAAAGATAGAACAATTTTCTATCTCTCTAATCCAGCAAAATAAAACCCCTGCTGTCTGCTGATCACCTTGTGCCACGTGATCACAGCACAGGCTGCTAACCCCTGGACTAGGCGATGGTATAGACTGGATAAGTAACCAGATTAGAGAGCCATGCACGGATTTACCTGGCTGAAACTGGCCTGAGACATTTCATTTCCCATGGGTCAGATCGCAGACAGCACATCTCAGTCACTACCAACCTGGACCAGAGAGGGAAGGATGACTCAGAAACAACAGGTTCTGCTGTGGGGTACAGCCCTGGGCCCAGGCCATCCCCAGGTAGGAGCAGAGATACTGTGGGTTTCTCTGGGCTCAGCGAGACAAAGCACCTCCCAGGAGGAGACACAAGTATCTCAGACCTACTAGGAGAGAGGCAGAGAGCACAAGACTTCCTGGAAAGACAGTTTCCCAAAGCCATCACAAATACTCCTGTAGTAGGATAACTAGGAATGAAACTCTGCCTTAGTGGCCTCATCTTCACATCCCAAAAGCTTACCTGGGAACAACACAACTCCTCTAGACCTGCTGACAAAGGTACAGAGGCATCTATGGGCTAGCTGCCAACTGAGCCAGTTGAGCCCTGTTACAGCACGGTGCAGAAGCAGTAGGAAGAAAAGGGCAGCTTTTGCTTCCACAGAAGGCAAGACAGTCTCCGTATCAGGGACTGACCTGAATCCAGGGCCTCCACCTTCCCCCTCAGCTAGCTGCACCTAGAACAGCTGTGACACCCCAAAAGCATCACAGAAGATGTTCTCTGCAGGAACAGACAATACCCAAAAATCAGTGCTAAGGACAACACAAAGTTTAGTGAAAACCTACAGACATTTAAAAGCCATTGAAGACTAGAAAACAACACTTAAGAGGCTTTTGAACAGAAAAGGTACAAAGCTTTTCTACCTCTCTTCTTTCAACTTATTATTTATTCCTCTTCATCTCTTGCCCTTTGTCAGGCACGAGCACCAAGGAGAAGCTATAAACCACACAATACCTGTGGATCACAACACAGGCCTTACTGGGGTCACCTCTGCTTTGGGCTGGTTTCATGCTGTCAGGCTTGGTACCCTTCTCTCTGTGAGCCGAATTCCCTGGAGGACAGGGCTGAACAAACACACACCTCCTCTAACTCCAGTGTATGACCTCCTTCAAAAAGTGGCATGGGAAAGCAGAATCCCCAAGGAGAAAATAATCACAACTTCATGTTATCAGAGCAGGCACAAGGGAACATGGAGCTTTTAAAACACGGGCCTGATCCCTAGGGCAGAGGATAGGAACTTATTTTATGTTCCATACTAAAACACGTTCACTCACTCTCCAGGAACTCCATCTGTGACTCTTGGGTGCTGACGCAGATGGCGTTGAAGCCCTCGGTGGGAGCCACGCTACGCTTGACATGGTTAGCTGCCAGAGAGTGTAGAACGCTGGTCTTCCCAGCCCCATCCAGGCCCAGCACCAGTATCTGCTTGCCGTGCCCTGTACCCTGCGAAGCGAGGGGCAGCACACTTAGCCAGGCAGCACCCCGGGCATGTGCAGAGCTCTGCACGCCTGGGGGAATAAGGGAGCTTAACAAGGGGTCGGGGGGGGAAAACAGCAAAAGCCACTTCACGGTGGAGACGGTGTCCGCTGGGCTCCTGCGGCACAAGAACAGGGCGGCAGCGCCGGCGAGGCCATGGGACGCCGGGGACATCCCACGGCCCCGGGCCGCCCGCTGCTGGGG